CTCTATTCCTTCCAGTTCCCAACAACTTCCTTTACTCTGCTACCTCCTCCTATGCCACATTCTGCCATCCACTTGGTTAAGCCCACTAGGTATGTCATGTGTTGTTTTCCCTTCTCTCTCTTTCCCTCTATTCGACCCATTAGTATCAGTGTCTCTAGCGTCTCTTTCCTCATTATATGTTCCCAAAACTTCAGCTGCATCTTCCTGATGTTAAGTATAAGCCTCCTCCTTGTTTGCCTCTTCTCTAAGAGCTAATCGTTGCTCACACGCTTGGTTCATGATATCCTTAGCATCCTTCTGTAGAACCACATCTCCCTTGCCTCGAGTTTCTTCATCATCTAAGAGGAAATCGTCCAACATTCGCTGATGTAAAGAGGGACATATGTCACGTAACAGCTCATTATCCTTTGTTACCAAAAAATCCTCCTGTTTCGCAATACTCTGCCCAGTTTTTGGAATGCGACAGTGGTCATCCCAATAGGTCTACGGTTCTCAGTGTCGTACTTACCTTCCTCCGTCAAAATGCTTCCCATATATTTAAACTTCGGTGTCTGATTGTTTCTGGTGTTCCCGACTTGCAAATTGTATTTCGGGTTCATCATTTTTATGATGTCTATGCATTTTCTCTTCTTGTTTTTGCTTAGTCCCTTTTTCACACTCTACGGCGCTACTTTCTGTAGGAGATTTTATAATTTCTTTTCCGTGTCTGCTATCAATACTGTATCATCTGCGTATCTTATGTTATTAAGATTGTGGCCGCCAATGCTAAATCCAGGTAGGGGTTCCAATTCTCTTAGAATTGATTCGCTGTATATGTTGAATAAGTTGGGTGAGATGAGATGGTGTATCTTTGCCTTACACCCCTTTCTGCTTTACGCTGAACTCGTTCCCTATGCGCATGCGTGCTGTTTGCTGCCAGTATAGGTTCTTCATTATTCTGATATCTTTCCCGAATATATCAAGCTTGCTGAGCAGTTCCAGCAGATCCTTGTGGCCGACATCTCCTTTTGCATTTGTATCACTCTTTCTAATAACATACTGAGCATGAATATCGCGTTCCATATTCCAGTGCCTTTACCGAACCCTCACTGTTCTTGTCCTATCTCTGGGTTGATTCTGCTCCACACTCTATTCATTAGAATACGGATGACGTATTTTGTCACGTGGCCCATTAGGCTTATTGCTCGGTGGTGTTCGCATTCTTTAGTGCCCGGTTTTTTTAAGACATAGCTATGAAGATATATCTGCTTAGATCTTCCGGTATATCCCCGCTGCTGCTGATTTCATTTTTTATTTTGTTGATCTTGTTTTTGCCAAAGTCATCTAAGGCTGTCAGGATTTCCGTTACAATTCCGACTGGTTCTGCTACCTTTGTTTCCTATAAAATGATAAAAAGGAACATTTTTCAGACTGACAGTAATAATTTGTGAAATGTTCACTTTTTGAAATTGCTCATTTTTTATCACATTTTTGAATATTGATATCAACCTATTTTTTTTCAAATGGTATAAACCTCGACAAATGCCTATCGATTAAATGCCGAACCATTTTATTCGATTTCTCTTAGGTTAAAATCACATAGGAAATCTTATTTAATGTTCTGCAGGTTAAGCACGATTTTGACTTTCAACTACTTCGTATCCTTCGGAATTCTTACCAACATTTATAACTTTACTCTGCCTCACAGCCTCGGTTTTACCATCCGTTTACACATAAACTTTAGATATGTTACCGATGTTTCCATTTGTTACGCTTGCATTCAATATGTTCTGTCAGTATCAAATTCTTCAAGTCATATTTCCTTATCATGTGTCGCAGAAATTCCAACTAATTCTAAGTAAAATAGTCGTTTTACCATTTCCCTTAAAGATACCTCGTTTCTAAGATGCTCTCAACATATTCTCATTATCCTTCTGTAGAACACATTTCTGCTACCTCAAATTTCTTTTTCATATGTGATGACATTCTGTAATATCCCATTTGTACCGGAGTTTTGATATTATAATAAAATTAAATTCAGTGTTTTTGTTTAATAATCTGAATATATTCTATTGCGTGGTCAATTTTATGTGAAGTGTAAAGAGGATCAAACACATACTCCTCTGATAGGATATAATCCATGACAAGCTCCAGTTTGGTTGTTTATTATATAAAGTATATGGATTTAGATTTACTATATGCATACAATCTGAAAGGAATTACACATGAAAGAAACGCCAGACAGTTTTTAAGCTACAAGAAAAAATGTACTTTTTGAAGACAGGTTATTTTACGAATAATGATAGGAGGCAATGTAACCGAGTATTGTCGACTGATGAGACGAGTCTTCGGCAACTAAACTGTTTCCTTACCATTGTCTTCCGGTGAATATGCTACCTAAACACTCAGAATGATTTAAAAAAAAAGATCTGGTAAAAGAAACATGAAATGTCTTCTACTGTCATCGACCATCTATCACAAGAGTGTGCGGTGATGACACCACATCGATTGATTTGTGGTCTTCCAAAACGGAAGCTAACAGCTAAAGTGAAAGGATCCCCTAATTAAATCAACCATCTCATGTTCGGGATCAAGGAAAGCATTCGCGTTGGATGATATTGTGCTGTGGATTGACCTGGAAAGGATTAGAATTCGCCATGTCACCTACTACTCAAATAAACTCTGCATCAATGAATTTCTCTCTAGAGTTATGTGAAAGAAATAGTCAGCTGATCAGGTACGCAATGTCCATATGAAATTACCCGATCATTAAGGAGAGATAAAAAACCAGTAGCTCTGTTCACGATGTTAGGTCGCGTGTCCTCTAAATCATTAGGATTGGAACGACACCACGTGCACTGTAGCAATATCCGCTTTGTTTTGTCTAGGGCAAAATAGATTCATAATTTACCCAATGGTTATTTGCGTGAAAGTGAACATGCCGAATTCTGTCAAAGTTCGAACTCGTCGAAATCTCTCTTTATTTCTAGTCAGTGTTAATATGACGTCCTTATCATGGCCGCAAAAATACGAAAACTCGAATGTTAGCCTTTCCCATTAGTGAAATTCTTTTAAACTGTCTAAATTTTCCTCTCTATCAATGAAATAACAACATCTTGGTTCAAATTCCATTTTATATACAGGAACTAATCATCTACGTGTGACGAACAGCGAAGAAAATTCGAATATTTTTCTTCTCAAAATGTTGTTGTTTCTTGGCTTGCCATCAAACTGTAGAGATACTTACGTAGGACTTGTATATGAAGATAAGCAAAACTGTCAGGGGCAGACGTATCAAATCATTTCATCGTTTCAAAACTTTTGTCAACAGGCCAACGTAAAATATGTTATTTTCTCTTTTATATTTTCTAATTCCTTCCCTACTTTTCTCACAAGTACTTCTGACGACTGTTTTCCATAAGCAAAGGCTTTTCACCACACAGTATAATTCACTGCGACGACAAGAGAAAAGTTGAATTTGACGGTCATCATCTTATCGTTCAATTCCAAGAAATGACAGTACCAAAGCACTTTTGACTGAAATGTAAACTAAAAGTTATAGTGATTCTTCTTCTTCTTCTTCTTCTTCTTCTTCTTCTTCTTCTTCTTCTTCATCATCATCATCATCTTATTATTATTATTATTATTCATCATCATCATCATCATTATCATCATCTTCTTCTTCTTCTTCTTCATTATCATCATCTTCTTCTTCTTCTTCTTCTTCATCATCATCTTCTTCTTCTTCTTCTTCTTCTTCTTCTTCTTCTTCTTCTTCTTCTAGGCAGACTGTCCCTTCAGAAAGTGGGTGTTTAAGTTACTCCACATTTTCCTATCTGTCCTAGCTCGTATCAATATTAGCCCTTCATCTATCCATTCCACTTCCTGTTGTGTCATCCGTCGAGTTTTTGAGGAATTGTTTTAGATTGATATAAGGTGACAGGGGAGGACTATGGAATGATCTAAATTTGAAATGAGAGAGAGGGATACGAATATATATCGGATGTGTTATACATTCAGCTATTAGGCATTTAATCATAAAATAAAGAGTTTTAGGTTCTGAATAATTTACAGATTGATTGTTATACTGACAATATTCTACATGTAAATATAATTAAAAATGTCCATCTCTTGCTTTCCCTAGAGGCCGTAATCCCGTCGCAACATAAGTGCATAACTTAGTCGCCACCTCTTCGTTCAAACTGTTTCACAAAATCATAAGACTTTCCTTCATGTTTCACACACTTGGGCATAAAGTACACTTCACGTTTGTAATTAATACGGTCGATATCACAATGTCTGCAGGATTAATGTCAGACGTCAGGTAAAATTGATTTGTCATAAAAAAGAAAATCTACGGAAATGCCACTACAACTAGTTTGGCGTCAAATTGTATATTTGTGGGAGCTCCATCTTGAGTAAGACCTATCGGCTTCCAAATATGGCTGACAACCAGAGTAACACCTCAACCTCCCAACATTTGTTGGTAAACCCTGTTATTCACTTCCATCCCTTCTTGAACGAAACTGCCCCCCTGAACATGATACAAGTTCTTTTCGGCCGCTTGAATTGTATTTCGACACTTTCAAAAACCTCTCCTGGTAACGTGGCGTAAATTCTCTCGTTTTTCATTTTATTGACAGCATTCTGTACAGAGAAAATATTGTCGTCCGACCAAGCGAAGATGTTTTCGCGGCACACTGAATATCCATTTTCCATTTGCCAAGCCGCTTTTGCATGAAGCACCTGACGTTGTTGAATCATTTCATACGTTTTAGCGTAAGTCCCTTTTCAGTATAATCTTTAGTGACCCATGCGAACTATCCAGAACTTTTGATATCTTGCTCATGTTTCAACACGGATTCCTTTTCACCCACTCCTTGACGTCTTAAATCCAGATACAAACGGAACGATGTAAAAATGAAAGCAGCTAGAATTTTTTTTTTTTTAAATCTTTAATATTGGTTTGTTTTCCTTTACGATAAAGCGTTTCCCATCTGCAGGTTTACCGCATTATCAACTTGAAACACCGGTTCTTATACGAGCACCGAAGTTAAGCAATGTCAAACTTAGTCAGTACTTATGTGGGTGACCGCTTGCGAATACCAGATGCTGCAAGCTCGAATATGTGGGTGCTGCAATGGATAATGACTCGAATGAACTTGCTATTTTCACCCCGTTTTGAATTTTAATTATTTGTAATTAAAATTTATCGCTTTTTAATCGCGTTTTAACTTTCCCTCCTCATTCGTTATACTGAGTGTGTCTTTGATAGTTTTTCAATTTGCCGATGTATACCTGCGTGTTTATGGGCCTCTAGATAGGTAAACAGAAATCAGTTAAATACTTCAATATCGATTAAATATTTGTCCTCAAATTTTTATGAATTATCGTTTCCTGTCAGCAATTATTTTACATATATTTCAGCGTACATGAATATAATTATGCCTCCCCATATATATATGTATGTATGTGTGTGTGTGTGTGTGTGTGTGTGTGTGAGTGTAAATAATGAATGTAAACTTTTATATTCATAACTTTTCCAGTTTTACTAAAGCTTCATCAGAATGAGATTTGAAAAAATGATTTACATTTGTTGCTCATGTTTGAAGTGCTTTTGATTTGTTATTTCTTTTTCTGTCTCGCTCACACACACATATATATATATATATATATATATATATATATATATATATATATATATATATATATATACACATCCATCTATATGTATATGTATGTATGAACAATTTGCATCAAACCACATAAATTAATAAGTTAATACAATTGGGAATATGTCTTTATTGTACCATAACTTCTCTTTAAAATATTCAATATATATATATATATATATGTGTGTGTGTGTGTGTGTGTGTGTGTGTGTGTGTGTGACCAACTCTTCTTTTGTTCTGGACCTTTCTTGGGTGATATAGATTAAAAAGAAACATCGATACCTAAGAATTTTAATAAACCTCGATAAGGCACCGCGTTCTGATAATGATTTATTTTTAAACACTTGAGTCAGCTAACGAAATAAATGACTTAAACATTACTTACGAGTAAATGTATATATGTATACGTTTATGAGACCAATGTGCACAGCAGACATATAGTGCATAGTATGAATGCTGACTATATATATATATATATATATATATATATATATATATATATATATATATATATATATATATATATATATATGTGTGTGTGTGCGCACGCGTGTGTATGTGTTTGCTTTGTCTATTAGATAGGTATGTGTAGACAATTTAAAAAATAATACTGTCTCCCTTCGTTTAAGACGGAAATTGGCAGACATTCTATCTTTTGCACCGCAATTCACCTCTTGTTTCTTGTTGTCAAAGATAATTTGGTCTTTCAAGAAAGCATCATGTCCATACTGAACATTCAAACGTCAATAATCTTGATGTGTTTGGGCTTGAAATGTTCGCTGGTGATTTCACTTTCCTGTGGAGCTACTGAAGAGGCACACAAAATAAAATTGACGATCTTTATTGAAATATACACATATATACAGAAACATATACCAGATTTTGAGATGGACACATTTCTCTATTTACATTGTTCGGACTGTTGTACATTGTATACTGCTGTCATTTTCTATGCTGTCATCTTTATTGAATGCTAAGACCATCTTCAGGTGATTGGAATTTCAAATCAAACTCTTTATTTCGTCCGCCGGGGTAGATTGTTCTAGTTCCACGTGCTATGCTGGGTCAAGTCACTGGATTATTTCAACCAACGCATTTATTCCCTGGGCCACGTTTTATTGAAATATTTAAAAGTTAAACTCAGATATCATGTAACCGGCAAATGCAACAATCCACCACGGTGGGTAAATTAAAATTTCAGTTCTAAATTCCAACCACCTAAAGAAGGTTTGTAGCCTACAATGGAGGTGTCAACAAAGTCATAAATTAAGAATGTATAAGCATAAAAATTGTCTTAAAATTATTGTCGGACTTTCTCCATTTCATAATGTGTGACGTCATTTGTTTACATTTGGATACACTTTGAGCAGATATGTACATGAGATTCATTGAAGATTGTAGTTTAAAGGCAGTAAAATCGACCTTGCTAACCTATGTGGCTCAATCAGTTAAGTCACATAAGGCTATATCACGGTACCGTATAGGATACAGGTTCTATTCCTGTCGGAGGAGGAATATTTTCTATGAAAAATTCTCGGACATTCAAGCCGGTAAATGTTATTAATACTGTTTATTATAAACAGAGCATTTACTTAAATATCTGTATCTATAAAAATAATGTATAAACATAAAAAATGTCTAAAAAATAATAGTCGGACTTTGTCCATTTCATTATAGATAGATATGGATATATCTGTTAGGGCATCTAAATAAATTAAAATATCCAATCAAATATTATATATATATATATATATATATATAGGTAAAAATTCCTGGTAAGTAATCCAAGTCAATCTGAGTAATACAAAGTATTAAAACTGATCCACAGAAGAGAACTCAGTATATTTATTGTAGAGGAATTAAGAATTAGAAGAAGTTAAAATTCGATACACCCTATGATATATGGACATTTTGCCCAAAACAGGGTTGTCAACACTAATGAGTTAGACATATACCTCCTTGATGTTAACAAACCCGTTCTGGGCCATTTGGCATATATCATATCGGATATTGATTCTTGTCTACTTGTAATTCATATATATATATATATATATATATATATATATATATATATATATATATATTAATGTACATTTAGGCAGTAACCTTTCCTCCAAGCATCTTTCATTGAAAACGGTCGACATGTTAGACTTAATAATTTTTTTACTGAATTTCCATCATTCTAACATTTTCAGTTTTTGAGGGATTATAGAATAAAAAAATTGTACACTGTTGTTATTATTCCAGGTGATTTCGGCTAGTTCTACAGCCATTAGCAAACATGTTTTTATTATGCTAAGTTTTATGTTTTTGTCTTCAACATAGTATTCTTAGCTGTATGGAGATCAGCGAGGGGTGTATGCCATTTTCGGCGGTCACGTGTTATGAGCCACTGGTTGACCTGGGCATCACGTCTATTTTTAGAAAACCTTTAACATTACATCTCCACTGTTAAGCGATCTAATATTGATAGCCGGGGACCTGGATTCAATTAATAATGCTTCCCTCATAATGAGATGTGTAACACTAAGGTTTTTTGCAAAAACATTTTATATTATTGACTAGAATTTACAAAAAAACATTTGTGGAAAATTCTCGCTTAACACTAAGTGTTCGTCATCAATATCATTATTATAGTCATCATCATCATAATCATCATCATTCAAAAGACTGGATATGACCGTAGCGTACCTGGCTAAACCCCTCCGAGTACATTGATTGTGCAACAAGGAATATGTGTAAACCATTATCTAGTGCACTCGGTGATGGTGACAGCCCATTTTTTCTCACATTTCTTCATCTTTTTTATTTACAATTATACTGTCTATGATGGCATTGAGAATGTTATTGCCTCTTAGGACGGGCCCAGACCCTGTCAGCTCTCTCTCCTTGACGCTCGTTGCAAAGTCTTCCAACTGATCTTGCTCGATTTTTGTGGATTGCGTCTCCACCTACGCCATTTTTGATGTGGTGTGAGTAGATAAATGGATAGAGTTAGGCAGTTGTTCTAAGGCAGATGAATTGGTATAGATGAAGATTACGCCATTTTTCGGTGCGGTATAAGTAGACAAACAGATACACATTTCTGTGCAAGAGTAAGTGAACCGCTAAGATAATATTTTCTAAAAATTATCTCTTTTTTGCCAGATTATCAAAAAAATCTTAATTAAAATATATATTCATTTAGAAATAACTTTATTGAATCTATTACAACCACTTTCCAAAAATGGATGAAAGTGGAATAGAGATATTAATTTAAAATTATGATTTGCAAAAGTAAGTTATTACGCCATTATTTGATACGGTGTGCGTAGACAAATGGATAGAGATTGACAGTTATTCAGAGATAGTTGAATTGGTATGGATAAGGTTTATGCCATTTTTGATGGGTTGTGCGTAGACAAATGGAGATGAATAGACAGTTATTCATTGATAGATGAATTGGTAGGGATAAGGATTATGCCATTTTTCATGGGCTGAGTGTAGACAAATAGATAGAGATTGGCAGTTATCCAGAGTTAGATGAATTGTCATGGATAAATACACATACTTGCAGTAATAAGTTATAATACCGAATTACCTGAAAGTAATAATAATGACTATATAGGTATCGTAGATTCTTCTATAGCCCGGTTCATTCTCATCCCAGAGTTTTGGAACATGAGTAGAGATGTGAATATTGTTTCTTTTCTAGGATTGGGTTCTTGGTTCCTTGTTAAGTCTACCTCAACTCTGTACTTTTAATGTGTCCACCTGATCTTTGAAATTTAATTTAATAATTATTTTTCTTATTCTTAATAAGGAGGAGATAGGTTCGCCTATCTCCCGGTTCACACGTCTCGTCAGTCTTTTGAACAAGTGTAGATGTCTCCTATTTAGGATTGGGTTTTCTCAGCTACTTGCAAATTTATTTCATTCGCTTACACTTACAGTAATCACTTGTGTCTTAGTGGCGTTTCCGCCTTGCTTGGGGTGAATACATTAAAAACTAAAATAAAAATAATGTATTCGATTCACATGAAAATTTATATCTTATACTTTTTTATTTTATTTTTACTCATCAGTATCTATTTGAATATAGACCGTAAGAATGTATGTCTGTGTGTGTGTGAGTGTGTGTAAAAATACTTGTATAGTTGCCCTTCCGTGAGCGTATGAGAAATTGATGAATGATTCGCCTCTGTTCCCCGAAGAGATAATTTTATGTTTGTACAATGACAAGACACAAAAATGAAAGTTATATTTGTAAAATCTTACAAGATGATTAATGGTGTATTTCCCTCAGAAACATACACATACAAAGAAAGTAAGGACAAAGTAACTGTCATTTCGACAATCACGAATAGAAAAATCAGAGAAATCTGTAAGGAAATATCTCTTTTTCTAACTCTGTCCCCCCCTCTCTCTCTCTCTCTCTCTCTCTCTCTATCTATCTATCTATATGTGC